AGTAATGGCTACTAAAAACAGCACCTTCACTGTAAGGAGAGAAAGCAGCAGGTGGCCACGGCTCCAAGGAGGGTGTTATAAGGCCATCTAAAACCAAATGTAAGTACCATGAGATCCTGTGAGGAGGATAGAGGTTCTGGAGGCCCATGAAGAATCTCCTAGTGCTAGGATGTGCAAAGACAGATGATCCATTGATCTGTTTGTGGAAGGCTGTAATTGCTGCCAAATGCACCTTGGCACAGGAGACAGATAGACCCCTGCTCTTCAAATGATATATGAAGTTGAGGACAGAATGAAACAGAGCTTTGTGGAGATCAACATGCATCTATTGACATGCACTCCTGAGAGCTCATTGCTCAGGAAGGTTGATGTGTAACACTGCTTCATGTGGTTACCACTTACCCTGCGCGCTGTACAATGCTGCAGATGTGTGCCCTACCCTATCAGTGAGACATCCATTTTAATCTGTACCAATGGCTCAGATTGGTGGAAGGAGACCCCCTGTGAGGAGATTGTGGGGCGATATCCAACATTTGAGAGCATTTAGCACGTCTGGAGACGGTGACCCACTTGTGAAGTGAATTACAGGATTGCATGTACACCAACGCTAGCGAGTGCTGCAGGGCACAGATATGGATGCATGCATACTGAACAACATATGAGGTAGAGGCCATATGGCCCATCAATTGAAGAGAGATATGTACAGTAGCGGAAGGGCTTGTAGATAGAGTAGTTACTACATCCTGCAGCATGATAAAATGTTGGTGTGGGAGATAAGCCCAGGCCGATATAGAATTAAGCCAAGCTTCAATGAATTCAATGTCCTGAATGGGATCGGGAATTGACTTCTGTTCATTTATCAAAGTCCTAGATGACCAAATAGATAACTTGTCTTTGAGACTATGCTGGACGTTTGTTTATGAATGGCCCTTTATGAAGCAGTCATCCAGGTATAGAAAAATGACAACTTCCTGTTGACACAGGTAGGCTACCAATTCTGCGAGGCCCTTTGAGAAGACTTGAGGGGCAGAGAATAGGCCAAAGAGGAGGACTCTGTACTGAAAATTATCCTCCCTCACGGAGAAGCGGAGGTAACGTCCGTGGGAAGGATGTATCGTGATGTGAAAGTATGCGTCCTGTAAGTTGAGGACTGCAAACCAGTCCGCTTCGTCCAGTGAATGAATAGCTGAAGCCAGTGTGACCATTCTGAAGTGCTGTTTCTGTAGGAAATTGTTTAGCTTGCAGAAATCTAAAAATCGGTCTCCAGACCTGTGAGCTTTTGGGTTAGGAAGTGAGCTGAATAAAACCGTCTTCTCCAGTATGGATCAGGGACTCTCTCTATTGCTCATGGGAGGAGCCAATCGATTTCTTACTTGAGAGAGGTCTTTTGAGAGGGGTTCCTGAATCAGGGGAAGTGAATCCTGTACATATGATTTCTAGCACTCACTGGTCGGAGATTATGGAGGCACCAAGATGGAAAAAGTGATGAAGCCTATCGGAAAAAAGTGTTTCTGGCTTATTGGCACTGGATGTTTGGAGAGATAAGGCAAACCCTCCACCAAAACTTCAAATTTGCTGTTTGGATTCCTGGGAGCTTAGAGGAGCATGATTGAGGTGGATGCTTCCTTCAAGGCCATTGTCTGGATCAGTTATAATCATATTGTTTATGCTGAGGACTTGTTGTAGGCATCCTTGTTTCTGTTGTATGGGGTGTAGCATTTTCACTAGTATGGTGGTGTGAATGTGCCCAGACTGCGGAGGTTCTACAGTCCTTGCTGTTACGTAGGATCTCATCTGTGTTGGCTGCAAACAGCTTTTGTTTACTGAAAAGGAGCTGATGTTGGCCCACTGCAAAGAGGCACCCAGAATTTGTGGGACTGCTTTGCTGCCGGTTCCAAGCACTTGCTCAGGGCCAGGTCTTGAGGCACCACTTGCAGTGGTGCTGGGGTGGCTTCTCTGGTGCTAACAATGACCATGACAGCCCTGGGTTAATGGGGGGTGATGCAGCAATGGTGCATGCCAAAGATCTCAGCTCCGTGATGCAGCAATGGTGCATCTCGCTTACTCACTTTAGGGGACAGGCTAGGGGGTAGTCACCTCACCCTTTTCTTCTGGTGTTTTTGACATAAGGGGGAAGCAGCCCTTTTCTTAAGTGGGTCTCCAGGGCGGTGGAACTGGCTGCAGTTCCTCTGTTAGAAACAATGCCTTTTCAAATAATATCATTTGATGCCGAAGCTCCCAGCCCCTCCAGACCCTTGCCATTAGGCAGCAGCAGTGGTCACACACACAACACATGCACAAATTGTGAACACCAGAAACAGGCATGGGATCATTGCATTTCTGGCACTTTTTAAACCCTGGAAAGCCTGGCACAGTATGCAGTGGCTGCTTGCTGGGCTTCTACTAAAGATTCCATTTTTTTTATTTTTGTAGAACAAGCAATGAGCAACGAGTAACTAAATGAGAAACACTGAAAATTGATAACAGAGGCAGGGGGAAAAAACCCTGTATCGCTGCATGAGGAGAATAGACACCTGAGGCGAGATACGAGCTCTGTCTGTGACCCAGGGCGGTTAGCGAGGAACTGAAGGGGGATGGTGGGGCTGTGCGCGAGGTGCCAAACTGCCTATCGCACAAGGTGCCTTCCACGCACGTGTGGCCTATCTGACAACTGCTAAAGAAAAGCTCCGAACTATGGCTCCAGAGATGATCCATCATCAACAGTGAAGCATCCATGGGAACATCACCTGAAGAGGAATAAAACCTTTTTTTAAAAGTTAACAGGATTTTTAAAATACTTCATGACATGCTATTTAAAATGTACCCGAGATCAATTATATAGCTTACTTAGTATACATTTGAGAGAGTTTGTGCATCTGTGTGTCTGTCCATGAGTCTGTTTGTTCAAGAACTCCTCCTGAACTGTAAAATTTAGGACCACCAAATTTGGTATGCAGCTTCCTCTTATCATAACTTACAGCAAGATCCGAATTTAGTTGGCCCAGGACAACTGAATGTGCATGAAATGTGATTGTTTCTCAAACAGAAAGGAAGAGGTATGCTAGGAGGGACAGTTATACTCACAAGGACCAGTCATAACCGTAGGTGTATGGCTAAAGACATTTCTAAAAACATGTACAAAGTTGAACCTGTTCTAGTTCGGCACCCTTGGAACCTAACCTGCGCCCAACCAGAGAATTTGCCCAAGCACAAGAGGTCAATATTGTGCAGCAGCATTAGCAACCCTTCCGGTGCTTACTGGACAAAGACATTTCTGGATAAATTAGAGCTAACTAACAGCACAGAAAACCAAAAGCCAAGACTTGTGTCTGTAAACAAACTTTATGGAACCACGGGAAATTTGGCCACACCCATTATAAGTGAACAGGGAAATCATGTCTTACTAATGTATTAGAGTTCTTTGAAGTGGTTAACAAACATGCAGACAAGGGGGATCCAGTAGATATAGTATACTTAGATTTTCAGAAAGCCTTTGACAAGGTCCCTCACCAAAGGCTCTTGTGTAAATTACATGGCCATGGGATAAGAGGGAAGGTCCTTTCTTGGACTGAGAACTGGTTAAAAGACAGGAAACAAAAGGTAGGAATAAATGGTAAATTTTCAGTATGGAGAGGGGTAACTAGTGGTGTCCCCCAAAGGTCTATCCTGGGACCAATCCTTTTCAACTTATTCATAAATGATCTGGAGAAAGGGGTAAGCAGTGAGGTGGTAAAGTTTGTGCATGATACAAAACTGTTTAGGATAGTCAAGACAGAAGCAGACTGTGAGGGACTCCAAAAAGATCTCACCAAACTGAGTGACTGGACAACAAAATGGCAAATGAAATGAATGTGGATAAGTGTAAAGTAATGCACATCGGGAAAAATAACCCCAACTATAGGTACAGTATGATGAGGGCTAATTTGGCTATGACAAATAAAGAAAGAGATCTTGGAGTTATCGTGATTAGTTCTCTGATAACTTCCACACACTGTGCAGGGGCGGTCAAAAAGGCAAATAGGATGCTAGGAATTATTAAGAAAGGGATAGAAAATAAGACACAAAATATCTTACTGCCCCTGTATAAAACTATGGTACGCACACATCTTGAATACTGTGTACAGATGTGGTCTCCTCACCTCAAAAAAGATATTTTGGCCTTGGAAAGGGTTCAGAAAAGGGCAACTAAAATGATTAGGGGTTTGGAACGGGTCCCATATGAGGAGAGGTTAAAGCGACTGGGAATCTTCAGTTTAGAAAAGAGGAGACTGAGGGGGGATATGATAGAGGTCTATAAAATCATGAGTGGTGTGGAGAGGGCCGATAAAGAAAAGTTATTTATTAGTTCCCATAATAGAAGAACTAGAGGACACCAAATGAAATTAATGGGTAGCAGGTTTAAAACTAATAAAAGAAAGTTCTTCTTCACACGGCGTGTAGTCAACCTGTGGAACTCCTTGCCAGAGGAGGCTGTGAAGGCTAGGACTATAACAGTGTTTAAAGAGAAGCTAGATAATTTCATGGAGGTCCATAGAAGGCTATTAGCCAGGGGACAGAACTGGTGTCCCTGGCCTCTGTTTGTCAGAGGCTGGAGAAGGATGGCAGGAGACAAATCGCTTAATCATTGTCTTCGGTCCACCCTCCCTGGGGCACTTGGTGCTGGCCACTGTAGGCAGACAGGATACTGGGCTAGATGGACCTTTGGTCTGACCCAGCACGGCCATTCTTATGTTCTAACAGCTGGTTAACTAAAATCATGTTGGACCACAGATGATGTTGGACTAGCGAGTGCTAGACTAGAGAGGTTCAACCTGTACAGCTAGAAATCACTTTGAAGCATGGTTATATAAAACAACCAACTCCTGAAAGTAAAAAATGTTACCATGTAGTTCTCTGATAGAATGTTAACGAATTAGTAGTAGTTATCCACAGATGAATGCTCTGAAGTCAAATAAAAACTAATAAGGAGAATAAAAACAACATTTTTACTTATTTCATACCATTTTGTAGTAGTCTACAAAGCTGATTTCAGAACCATCTGTTTTCCTAAAGGTGCATTTCGGATTGGAATCCCAGTCAATATCATCAACTCTGTATGTTTTGTTGTTATACCTGAATAAAATAATTTTAAAAAATCTTCTGATTTTTTGCATGCAGATAGCAATAACTTATTCTCACATCCATAGAAACAGTTTGTGGAAAACTGTGCGAAATAGAGGAAGTATTAGGTACTCTAAAAATTTAATAGACATTGTTACTTGGTTGCTGATTGTAACTTCTGCATTCAGATTACAATGAATACACTCTAGTTTCAAAAGCTGTTTGACATGTTAGAATAAATAGAAAATTGATTTTAAGTATATATACACATTGAATTTCATATGGTTTAACAAAGTTGTTAGCATTAATTTGAGAAAGGGACAAAGACAAAAAGAAGCTTTTTTGGTTTCATGCCTTCTCATGTCCCCTGCAAAATTTTAACACCCCAGACAGACAGGGTAAAGAGGTGGGCTCAACATAAGGGAGACTGCATCTACCATAAGGATACCAGGTTTCATCCTGGGCTTTAAAAGTCCTGTTTGTCCACATTAAACCCTAAAACCAGCTTAAATTGGTAAGGCTGGGTAGACTATTTGAAGCTTATTTACATTATATGAAATACATTATCTATTAGCTACAATACTAATGAAGTTAGAACTGTTGCAGTGTCATTGAGTACCAGCGATACATATAGACATTTTTCTAAATGCTTAAAATATAGTACATTTAGTCCTAAGACCCCAGCAAGATTTGCACAGTAAATATACACACTGCATCTGCTATAGTTACAATTGTTTTGGGATTTTCATCATAAGATAACTTGTTTCCCAAGATTATGACTTCTAAAATATCAGATTTTTCAAGGTATTTAGGTGTCTAAACACATAGGGTGTATCTAGACTACGCGGAACGGTCAAAAGAGGACATGCAAATGCCGTGGGAATTTGCATATCTTCTTCCCATCGCAGCTTTCGAAAGTGAAATTAGTTTAGATCGCAGCTTTTTCAGCAAACTCCCCCTTGTCAAAAAGCCACATAAGCCTCATTTTTTGAGGGGGGGTTCACCGAAAAAGCCACGGAATTTGCATGTCCTATTTTGACCATTCTGCGTAGTCTAGATGTGCCCATAAATAGGGTGTTCTGAAAATCTCCCTAAGTACCTAACAAGTAAGATGTCTGAAAATCCAACAAAGCCTTTATCTGCATCTCTAAGCACCTAAATACTGTCTGTGCTTCAGTCAGAAAACAGCAATAGAGGTCACAGTTTAGTATCCTTTTTAACAAAAAAAAAATCACCTTACTTTGTAAGAACAATTAGCCCTATCAGCTCCTTAGCACAGGTTTCTCTAAATCTTTGTTCTTCAACCTGCTGATATAGAGTGTACATAAAATCCAACACGGTTTCACTGCGCAGAACTTTATGGCTCACATCCGTACACAACATGATGTTTGTCTCATACTGGAGAATAGAAGTAGTGAAGCCTGGCCAAACCATCAACCTGTTGGAAAACAGAATATTTTAAAACTGAAACTGACTTTTCATATATCCAAGACTGCTACCATTTTGTTCTATAGAAACTAATATTAAGTTTACAAAACCCCAAATTAAAGATTATTAGTTTAAAAACGTCAAACAGACATTTGTTTTAATTTAAATATTGCCCTATGGCACCTGGAACTCAAATATTCCAGGTTCAAGTTACAATAAACTCACCAAAGCAAATATATTTTATGGTGGAAAAGCAATTGGTGGAGACATTTATATTCACTTTAGAGAACCTTTTATATACATATATTTGATCTATTTAAATTGCAAGACTGCTACTTTGTTGATGCAGCAACATAAGATGAACTGAAAGAAGAAGTTACTCACTTCGTGCAGTAACGATGGTTCTTCGAGGTGTGTCCCCGTGGGTGCTCCACGTCTGGTGTCGGGCTCGCCCCGGCGCCGCGAATCAGAGGCTTCCCAAAGCTGTGTTTGGCTGGACCGCACATGCGCGAGAGCTCGACGCCTTTCCTCTCCAAGCGCGGTCCAGCCCCCGCCTCAGTTCCTCTCACCGCCTCATCTGAAACGAGAGAAACAAACGAGATTCCGTAGCGGGGAGAAGGGCGGGTCGTGGAGCACCCACAGGGACACACCTTGAAGAACCATCGTTACTGCACGAAGGTGAGTAACTTCTTCTTCTTCTTCGGGTAGTCCCCGTGGGTGCTCCACGTCTGGTGACTCCGGAGCAGTGGTCCGAGCTAAGGTTGCGCTACGGGATCCATGTTACGGCAGCGTTGGAGCACCGCCGAGGCTACAGCACCCACAAGCGAAGTCTGAGGTGGAGTGTTGCTGAATTGCGTAATGTCACATGAAAGTGATGTTTGACAACCAAGTAGCTGCCCGGCAGATGTCGCGCACAGGGACTCCTTTCAGGAAGGCCGTTGAGGTAGCCATTGCACGGGTGGAGTGTGCTCTAGGTTGTGATGGGAGGGGTTTGTTACACAGATTATAACAGGTGGTAATGCAAGCGACAATCAGCTTGGAGATGCACTGTGCAGAGAGTGGACGACCTCCTATAAAAAGATGGTCTGTCTTTCGAATATCATGAGTTCTATCAATACAAAATGCGAGGGCTCGGTGAGTATCCAGCATGTGCAACAGAGCCTCTTGAGGAGAAGCGTGAGGTTTAGGACAGAAAGAAGGCAAGACCACTGGCTCGTTAATGTGGAAGTCCGAGCAGACTTTTGGGAGACAGGTCGGGTGCGACCTAAGAATCACCGAGTCCTTATGAAAGATCGTATATGGGGGAGATGCTGTAAGAGCTGCTATCTCACTCACCCTGAGTGCGGACATTATAGCAATAAGAAAAACAACCTTGGACGTAAGTAGTTGAAGAGATGTAGTTGCTAGCGGTTCAAATGGTGGCCGTGTCAATGTATCTAGCACGTGGTCGAGGTTCCACCCAGGAGGTGAAGGTCTACGTGGAGGGTTGCGATTGAGGAGGCCCTTGAGAAACCTCTTCGTAATGGGGTGGGCGAAAACCGACCGGCCATCGACCGGGCGGTGGAACACCGTAATTACTGCTAGATGAACTTTAAGTGATGGTATGGAGATACCTGATGTATGAAGGTGCAAAACATAGTCCAGAATAGCCTGCAATGGTGAGACAGAGGGGTACAACGTTTTAGTGTCACACCAGTGTGTAAAGCGAGACCACTTTGCGAGATATGTTTTTCTCGTGGAATCTCTTCTGCTATTGAGCAGAACACGTCTCACTTGATCTGAACAAAGGGTCTCCGATGTGTTGAACCATCCAACATCCATGCAGTCAGATGGAGGGTGAGCAATTTCGGATGGCGAAGGGATCTGCTCTGCTGCATTAAGAGGTCTGGGAGAAGAGGGAGACGGTAAGGCGTTCGAATCGAGAGCTGTAGGAGCATGGAGTACCAGGCTTGCCGGGACCAGGCCGGTGCTATCAGCAAGATTCGGGCTTTGTCGAGGACAACTTTCTTCAGTACTCTTGGAATTAGAGCCACAGGGGGAAACGCATACAGTAGTACCGTGCCCCAATGTAAAAGGAACGCGTCCCCCAGGGAGTGTGAGCCAATCCGTGCTCTGGAACAATAGACCTTGCATTTATGGAGTACCAGGCTTGCCGGGACCAGGCCGGTGCTATCAGCAAGATTCGGGCTTTGTCGAGGACAACTTTCTTCAGTACTCTTGGAATTAGAGCCACAGGGGGAAACGCATACAGTAGTACCGTGCCCCAATGTAAAAGGAACGCGTCCCCCAGGGAGTGTGAGCCAATCCGTGCTCTGGAACAATAGACCTTGCATTTTGCATTGGCAGAAGTGGTGAAGAGGTCTATGGCGGGTCGACCCCAACGGTGGAAGATAGATAGGAGCACGTCCGTGCGGATCTCCCATTCGTGGTCGTGTGGGAAGTATCTGCTCAGCGAGTCCGCGATGGAATTGTTCACCCCTGGCAGATACGAAGCTATGATAGTGATGTCGTTGCGGTTGCACCAGGACCACAGGCGAACCGCCTCTGCACAGAGGGAGCAGGATCTAGCACCGCCCTGCCTGTTGACATAGTACATTGCAGCGATGTTGTCCGTAAGGA